CAGCTACGACAACAAGCCGAACAACCACCAAGAAAATAACAACTGTAGCAGGTTAGTTTTGCACGGAGTTAAAACCTTGAACCGCGAGTTTATGTAAGTTTATTACTTTTGTTTTAGAATCAAAATCCACAACATCAGAGCGAGTTAAACCAACAAGTCAAGAACCTACAAGTAATATGATAGGGGCGCTCTTTCGGCCAGAGCCGACGGTCGAGAATCTTCAATTGTGCGCGGGATAGTTGTTGCTCTTCCCTTGTGCTTTTCCGTTGTGCCTGCGGTGTGGTAGCATAGAGTTTAGAGTACGCACAGACTGCCTGAAATACGAAGGTTATTTTGGACGCTTATCAGCGAGCGCATGTGCTTTCATAATAGCGGTACTGTACTTTGACCGTGATTTAGCGCGACCTGGAAGAACACGAACTCTATATATCAGAGTGCGTATGCACTTTAGTAAATCTGTCGATGTTCGAACACCGGATGTGGTTAACTGCTATTCTCCATTAATAAACATGTATGTTTCAGATATGTCTATTTGTTCAAACGGATGTATTCATGGTATCTGTACAAGTCCGGAACATTGCACGTGCACTTCGGGTTACACAGGACGCAGATGCAGTACGTACACTCTACGTTTTAACATGTTTATTGGCTGCATGGCGCTCGAGATTAGCAGCTTCACTGACTTGTTTCCTCGTCTACCTATTATGAGCAGGAATGATACGCCACTCTTGAATGATATTGATGTGATTTTAGTAATGCCAGATTCTCTTTCTGGTGAACTTACACGGCATTTTGCTGTTTCTTTTGGCGGAGGCAATAGAGACCCACTAGTCTACTGGAGGTCGCAGGAGTATGCTGTTCGATTTGGCGGGCAAACCATGTACCCGTGCTTGTGCTATGTTGGCGCAGACGTGTGTGATTCTCAGTGGCCGTAGGCTGATCTTTTCATAACCGTGTATTTTGTAGAAACAAAAACGGTAGCTGCAACAACTGGACCAACAACTAAGTCAGTTGCAGCTAGCTCGACCAAAAGAATTTTAGCTTCAACGAAAGCATCAGCTACGACAACAAGCCGAACAACCACCAAGAAAATAACAACTGTAGCAGGTTAGTTTTGCACGGAGTTAAAACCTTGAACCGCGAGTTTATGTAAGTTTATTACTTTTGTTTTAGAATCAAAATCAACAACATCAGAGCGAGTTAAATCAACAAGTCAAGAACCTACAAGTAATATGATAGGTACGCTGTTTCGGCCTGCATGTTTATCGTACGTTTCTGCATGTTTACTGCGGGTTTATTAACTGCATGGCGTTCGATTGTAATGTACTGAGAGATTCTGCTAGAAGCTGCTAGCTGCACTGACTTGTTTACTGGTCTAGCTATTAGAACTTACTCAATCACGAGCTATTCTTGAATGATATTTATGTACTTTTACTCATTTTGTTGCTGGATAGAGTAGACGAGTGTACAGAAATCACTTAGTTGCATTTGGCTTTCTCTCTTATGGCTCCAAGAGTTGTAATGGCTTTAGACTATTTCGTTGAAAACTAAACAGTTTTGGCGGCTAGTGTTGGGCCTTTCTCAGTAATGCTTTACGCTGGTGGATAAAGACGATCACGATGTGCGTCTGTAAATGTACTTGTGGTATGATAGTGTAGACTTTAGGATACGGACAGACTGTTTGAAGGGTAAAGATTATTTTCGATGGCAATAAGCGCATCTGATTCCCTAATCATGTATTTCGTAGTTCCAACGATGGTAGCTGCTACAACCATACCAACAACTAACTCGATTGCAGCTACCTCGACCAATAGAATTCTCAAGAGAAATCTCATCAGGAATAACAACCCAAATTAGGGCTAATATAATAACAACTGTAGCCGGTAGAGCATGTACCCTGTTGAAAAAGTGAAACATAAAATATGTATTTTTTTCTTTTAGGTTCAACAACAACACCAGCAAGAGTTACATTAGCAATTCATGGAACAACAACTACTATGAGACGTACGCTCTTTCTTTCTTTTGGCATACTTATAGGCCGCATGGCGATCGAGTAGCGTCACTGACTTGTTTGTTCGTCTAGCTACTGAGTGCAGGAATCAGGAGCCACTCTTGAATGATATTTATGTAGTGTTAGTAATGGCAGATCGGAAGAAACGGAAACTATTACTCTGTTAGTTCGTTATATTACCGGTAGAACATTTGGAACTCGTTGATGATAACTATTGTCTATAATATTTTGTTGCTAGACAGAGCAGACAGCAGTAAGGAGAACACTTGATTCCATTCGACTTTCTCTCTTATGACTTGAGATGTTGTGATGGCTTTAGACTATTTCGTTGGAAACTAAACAATTTTTTGTGGATAATCTTGAGCCTTTTTCAGTAATGCTTTTTGCTGTTGTATAGACAAGATCATTGTGCGTCTGCAAAGGCACTTGTGTTATGGTAGTGTGGACTATAGAATACGGACAGGTTATTTGAAATGTGGAGGTTATTTTCGATGGCAATAAGCGCATCTGTTTTCATAACCATTTATTTCGTAGCACCAACGATGGTAGCTGCTACAACCATACCAACAACTAACTCAATTGCAGCTACCTCGACCACTAAAATGTTAACTTCAACAGAAACCTCATCAGGAACAACAATCCAAACTACGACTAATGTCATAACAACTGTAACAGGTAGATTTTTTACCTAGTTGAAAGAATGAAACATATAATATATATTTTCTTTTGTGTTAGGATCCGCAGCTACATCAGCAGCATCAGTTATATCTACAGTTCAATTAACAACAACTACTATGATGCGTACGCTCTTTCTTTCTTTTGGCATGTTTATTGGGTGCATGACGGTTGAGATTAGTATTTTCACTGAGTTGTTTACTCGTTTAGCTTCTAAGAGCAGGAATCACACACTACTGTTGAATGAAATGCACTGTTGCTCATTGCACGTCGGAAGAAACGAAAGCTGCTTTTTTATTACGCTAAGAAAAATTCAGGGTAAATGAGAGAAAAGGTTTCATGAATTTAAGCGCGTTAAGGTATCAACTAGGTATGAACTGTGGTACATGGAGAATCTGAATATGGATAACTTAGCACTCAAACTTGGCGTCTCACTGCAGAGATGAAAAGTATTTGAGTGGTCGGACTCAGTTCGCTGTTTTTCAGCACATGTTTGATCTTTGCTAAAAACACCTCTTATATACGGCTTTATGCTCTCAGTGGAGTAATTTTTTATTATTATTTAGTCGTTATTTAATTTGCCTTGGGTTTAAGATGTACTGAATAATCACATGGATTCACAAGCCCACACAAAGATTATGATTATAATTCGCATAAGATATCATCTAACGGAAGCGGTTTTTCGTTTTTGTTCTTTTTCAACCACAGTTATTTCTACGATAAAGTATGAGAAGACATTTACTCTTGCGAAGAGAAAGCAAATAGCTGACCTTCCGTACATCAAATGAAAGCTTTTAGAATGTACTTTCAGTTGATGTTGCTTTGAGAAGGAAATGAACTAACTGCCTAGAAAACTTTCCGTTTTAGCCAATATCTATAGACGTTATTTATCGAAGCAATAGCTGTTGATTAGATTATGTGAGATTTTATCTGACAGCGTCCCTTTGATGTCATTTTACTCTTAGGCGCTTCTTTTTGTTTCTTTTTGAACTCAAACTTGTTTCTATAATAAGTGGTGTGGCCTCTGTTCTAAAAACACAAAAATCAAACAGGATACAGGACACTCCACTTATTATAGAAAGAAGTTTGAGTGCAAAAGAAACAAAAGGAAGCGCCTAAGAGTAAAATGACATCAAAACGATACTGTCAAATAAAAGTTCACATAATCTCATTAACGTAGGCAAGAATTGTTGACTTATTATTTTCTTTTAGAATATGTACTATATATGAGTGATTCTGGTAATTTTTGTACTGTTCGAAAAATTCATCAAAGTAGGCGCTATAGATTGTTGAAAACCGCAAGTTACTAGCTTTTTCATTTTTTGAGTAATTGCCATTTTACTGATGCCCAGTGGCTTGTGACATACAATTTGTCCCCACTCCCTTTTGACTATCTTCAGACCAAACTACATGGAATTAAGAACACAAGTTATCCTGTAAATATCAAGGTTTCAGCTTATTTCTAAAGGAAGGAATTTGAAAAATACATCAAAATGTCCCACCCCCAAACACATCTCTAGAATTGAAATGACTAGCCCATAAAGCCTCAAATTTTAAGATTACACGTATTTTGACACCCTGAATCGAATGGCAGACTCAGTTTTCTGAAAATCAGCTCAGCAAAGCATTTTCAGAAAACCCTGGATTTTCATTTTAGAAATGCTCAAAAACCCTTTTTTTGAGGATGCTAGTTGATAGAGCATATGTGAAAATCTATGTTCCAATACAGTTTTAAGCTCAGTTATGCTTTTTAGCTGGAAAGCAGAGAAAAGCGCATTTTCGATCATGAGTGAAAAAGCGAACAACCGGGATTGGGCTAAGAAGGACTTGGTGGTTTGGAAACCGAGTTTTTTATAGGCTTTCAAGCACCCTCTAAAAATCTACAGTGTTAAAATATTTTTCTGATCACTTTCATTTTGAGGCATTTTTTTCTTTAAAAACAGTACAGTAATCACTAGAGTTATCCTTATATACAAACGCAAGTATGTCTGTATTAAGAAAAATGCTAGGGAAAACGGAAGATAAAATAAAATAGTCACACAAATACGTTTTCATCTTTGTTTCATTCATTTTTGTACGTATCAATACAAAGACAAATACTCAGTCGAGTACGTATCATCTAATGAACTATCAGCGTCATCATAATTCATTAAATGTATACATGGTTTATTGCAATTGTTTTCTTAGCAATGGTATTTATCCGCTAAATGTATTTCAATAGGAGCTGTTAATAATTGTTTTGATTGCTGTTTAAAATCGTACTATCAAATATCATCTAACACCATAAAACCGGTTTCATCACGACACACAAAAAGTAAAATGGATAGAAAAACACTTTCTGGAATAATGTTTTATTATCAGCACTACATTGATTTTAGTACGCCTCACAGTACAGCTTAACAGCATTTCCGTAAGACTGCGAGCAGTGTTTGAATATACAAGTAAAATGTTGTCTAACCTGATTGTGAATATCGGATAATAAACACAAATTTTCTGGTTGATCTTGTTGGTAAACGATTAAGAATTAACTGTTGCTATTTCGTTTTCTGACCACTCATTAATTTCTTCGTAAAGGCAGACAGTAATGAAAATGATGTTAGTAGATAACATGTTTGATAATACAGTTATACTTAACATCATGAGATTCTGCAACATAATTATTAGCAATATGGACATTAGTTTCTGCATCAAATTCTTCCAATCTCAATTGGAATAACTATGCTATATTGAGCTCAACTAATAGACATACAAAAGAGAACTTACGAAGAGGATTTATATATTCTATTTTAACAATAAAATTCATTTAGTATTTTCGTTCATTCATTAATGTTGATGATGGTGCTCCTTGAAAAAAACTTTTCTCTGTTTTGTTTATCACCTATGAGACCTCAACTAATGCATATTTATAACTGAGACACTCAAATGCTGAGCAGTTATGCAGATAGTTCATTCTATTACAAGTAAAACATTCGGAACTCTTCGATGATGCCTATCGTCTATATTATTTGGTTGCTGGATAGAGTAGACGACTATTCGGAAAACACTTAATTACATTTGGCTTTCTCTCTTATGGCTCGAAGAGTAGTGATGACTTTAGACTATTTCGTTGGAAACTAAATAATTTTGTGTGAATACTTTTGGGCGTTTTTCAGTAATGCTTTTCGCGACTAAATAGATGAGATCATTGTGCGTCTGCAAATGTACTTGCGGTATGATAGTGTAGACTTTAGGATACTGACAGATTTTCTGTCTTGTAAGGAAGGTCATTATAATCTCAACTTAATTTTGAATTTCTCTTCCTTCATTTATTTAACAAAACATCATTTGGCGTTTCGGCAACGCCGTTGTCTTTATCAGAAAAAGTGATGTACATTTGGGAACACCGAATATACATAGATAGAATTTTAGTAAACTGTTTATGCTTTTAGTTGATAGTGGATCGGACAAGACGGGAATACTGGATGAGCAACTCATAAGTCTTCTTCTTCCGATCCACTATCATTATACGTCACACCATCGGTTATTAAGCAAGCAGCTATTGCTGAAATAACAACATTTGTTAACAAGTGGAGAAAACCAAATAGAGACAATATGACAAAAGAAGAATGACATGCATTATGTGAATCAAAACAAATGGAAGATATTGTCAGTATTCAACCTGATAAACGTGGAAAAGTGGTAGTAATGGACAAGGACGAATATACAAATAAAATTGAAAGAAAAACTAAATGACAAAAAGTGTTTATGAAGGCGTTAGTGATCCAACGAATACACTAAAAAAGAGAATAGCAAAACTAGCTAAAGAATTATTTGATAAAAATAGAATATCATTACAACAGAAGAAGGATATGACATCGACTGATGATTTGCCAAAACTTGGCGGCCAACCAAAATTACACAAAACAAACCATTCAATGAGAATAGTTACATATAGTAGAAACACAATAATATCACTAGTGTCAAAATTAGCTATTTCATATATCCAACAATTAAGAGAAACAAATGAAAATGTGGTTCGTAATACGAAAAACGTAATTAATGATGTTTCAAATATTAAGACCGACAATGATGAACGTTTGGCCAGTCTAGATGTGGTAGATTTGTTCAATAATATTCCTGTATCACACGCTGTTGGCATTGCCATCAATGGAAAAAATTTTGTGAATCATCGTTAACAAGATCAGATTTGAGAAGATTATTATTAATATCATTAAATAATAGTTATTTCATCTTTAATGGTAAATATTATCGACAACGACATGGTCTACCAATGAGAAATTGTCTATCTGTCGAAGCATATAAAAAAAACACAAAAAAGAAATTTTTACTGAAATTTTCGAATTGCCGGCAACGTATATTCAGTTTTCGCAAATGTACATAATTTTTTTCTGATGAAGACAATGTCGTCGTCGAAACACCAAATAATCTCGTTAAATAAAAGAAGGAAGAGAAAATTCAAAATTAAGTTGAGATACGGACAGACTATTTCAAATGCTAAGGTTATTTGGATGGCAATAAGCGCATTTGTTTTCATAACCGTGTATTTTGTAGTGCCACCAACTGTTGCTGCTACAACCATACCAACAACTAACTCAATTGCAGCTACCTCGACCACTAAAATGTTGACTTCAACAGAAACCTCATCAGGAACAACAATCCAAACTACGACTAATGTCATAACAACTGTAGCAGGTAGATTTTGCACCTAGTTGAAAGAGTGAAACATAAAATATATATTTTCTTTTGTGTTAGGATCAACCACAGCACCAATTACGTCAACAGTTCAAGGAACGACAACGACAACCACAGCACCAATTACGTCAACAGTTCAAGGAACGACAACGACAACCACAGCACCAATTACGTCAACAGTTCAAGGAACGACAACGACAACCACAGCACAAATTACGTCAACAGTTCAAGGAACGACAACGACAACCACAGCACCAATTACGTCAACAGTTCAAGGAACGA